TTCAATGCCAGTGATGCTAGGTATTTCGGTCCATCAACTAAGACACTAGTATCAGGCGGTCCCCAACTGTTACTATAAATATCAATATTGTTACGAGAATAACTGAGAGCAGATGCATCAGTTGAATCTGTTGTACGTCTCCCCAATAAACGAAGACCTGTTATATTTAATAGGGAATGAATGGATAAAGTATAATTCCCCTCACCTGCCATAGAGGCATCATAAGCTACACCTACTCCACAAACATTATTATCACGTCTCATGACAATTTCACCAGCACAAGCAGTTCCATGAGAATCTGTTCCAACAGGAGATGGGTTGCGATCATTATCATTAAAATCATAACTGTATGTTGATACCTACAAGATAGTGAGAGATGAGAGAGAGAGTACAAAATGAAGGGAGACTGAGGGAGGTGGATGACACACAAATGAGCTTCACTTACTATATAGCTAGAAAAGTTTGCGGGAATTATACTTTGTGATTTTGTACCAATATAGCAAAATTTCAATGCAACTTGAATTTAATTTTGTTGGTGTAGGCATGAACTATTGATAAACCCATTACCTATGATGCTTTGCGAAGTTAAACTGTGCATTTTTATGATGAACACCAAACAACAAAATTCAATTACAGCAAATATTTCCAGCTATAATGGTATTAGTTAAATATATCAAATGGCTGCTTAATGTCGTTATACTCCCCCACACAGGAGTGTCAAGTGAAAAGTTTCCCTTACATAGTTATTCCTCAGATCGTTGTGAGTGTGTTGCACTCCTACACAAAAACTGACTAATGCCAACTCAAGAATGTATTATCTTACCATCATCCACGACACCAACTAATATTCCATTTCCAGTATATCCTTGTATCCATGCTGGTTCCGCATTCAGATCAAGGTAAAGGTTTGGCTCCCTGGTTTGACCAGTATTGTTCTACAATAAACTCCAATAAACTTGGCCTCCATGCCAGACCATTGAGCTATACTTACAACTGTCCACTGTCTACCCCACAGTGGATCTGTCTGACTTGTTGGTTGAAAATATTTCTTTTCCCACTCATGTAAACTCTGCTGCTGTACATATCCTACCTGGAGGAAACATGACAAAAATGCTATTCCAGTGAATGATGCATAATAAAAATCATAACACTATAATGATGGGAAAAATAAACTAGTAGTGAAATGATGCATATAACAAAAGTTGTATCACTTCAGGGAATATAAATTAGTCAACATTGAAGGCATATCAATCATGTCAAAATGGGGTGATCTTTTTGATAATTATAAGGATTCTGTATGCACCACATGATATCTGCAGTTTCCAAATATGGAAAGCAATGGTATTTAGGGTGTAACAGTAACTATGGAGGAGCTACAAAAAATATGCAGTAATAAAATGAAGAAATGGTCATCTTATATATGATCAACAGTATATATAACAGATTAGAATATGAAATGTGGTAAAATTTAATTTCCTGATTAGAGGTTAACTTAAAAGTTGTTCCAAGAAAAATTTGCTATATACTGTAAACATCCTAGCTGCTATAGGAAGTAATTTTGTACATAGCATTATGTTGATGTACAAAGTAAACTATAGCCAATATATATAGTTCAATTGTACAGTTTGTTTATGAGCAAGCTGTTAAAGTAACTGGAGACATGCATCCTGTGCCACTTTATTACAGCAAATTTTATACATGTGATTGTGAATTAAAACATGAAATCAATTTTTTTGCAAAGTAGCCAATTGCAAAAGATGTTTCTGATATATGATACTAAATAATGTAATCAATAGTATGATTACCTTTATTTCTGACTTGAGAGCAGTTGTCCTGTACTTTAATTCAGTTCCAGATTTAACATTCTCAAAATTAGAGCTCATTTTAAAATGATAAATATTAGCAAAAGCACCAACCTGGCAATATCATAATATTTCATTAAGTATTATTTATCTCTTACTCTTCCCATGTTAGTGAAGCCATGTCTCTCTGCAATCTCATTAGCAGCTTCAATTCCACCATGAACCTCAACAGCCCAGCTATCAGTAAAGACTGCTACTGGCCTATGACTCTCCTTATTAAAGTATGAGGTATCAGCAGCAACAGTAATGAGAGTAACAGTTAGAGTTACGAAGAATAACGACAAGGATGTCATCTTATCCGTCTCTACTACTCGCTATAGTGAAACTTCATTCATTTACTCTAATATCTATGATTAAATTCACACCAAGGTGACCGCACCCTCTAATTCAAAATTTCATTTGGACAGACTAATCTAATTATAAAAAAGCCATCAAGGCACCTGTGGTCAGACCTATATATTTAGTATCTTCATGTATCTTTGATCATTGAGCAACGTGCTGCAGAAACTAGAGACTAGGAAAACTCTCAACCTTTGGCAACAAGTTGTCTGACCACATTCAGTAGAGTGGTAAGAAAGCAAAGTTACTGCAATTAGGTTGAGCATGCATGCATAATACATCAGAAAATGTCATTACCCATTTATTTAATAATGAGCATGAGCTAGGTCAATTTAACAGTGTGAGTGTTTTCTTAATAAAAAAATAAAAATCAAGGTTAAAAATTTGAATAAAAAATGAATGATTAGTTCTAAAACTAAACTAAACTACAATCGATTACATCACTCACTAAAATAAACTACCATCAAGCACAGCACTCACATCATGCAGTTACATGATAAAGGAGACTGATATCATGATAAAAAGGAGAAAGCAATTTCCAATGGCATTCCATGCAGAAGACTGAGAAGGCGATTCAGTAGGTGGTCTAGTTGGGTTGGTAGTAGGTGGATCAGTAGGTGATTCAAA